TTTAGCAACAACAATGATTTTTTTGGAGGCTTTGTTGTTGAACTGTACAGTCATTTCTTTTGGCTTTGAGACTGTTATTATTTGTATAATTCTATCTTTGTTTGTATTTTGAAGCTTATATATTACTATATATTTATGTATGACTTCATTTTGTTTGTTTCTTTATATTAAAATGTGCTTAGAGTGCTTTTATATGTCTTGTATGCATATATATACACTATGTTTTTATTGATCATGAATCTTACGATTCACGATACGATTCGATTCATGATTTAAAAAATAAGCTTTCCGATACATTATGTGTATCTCGATTCAACTACCATGCGCCGGAGTACTGGGCCACCACAGTTCAGGTCGCCGGCCAGAAAGGGGACGAAGGGGTGGTGAACGGAGGTGATTAGGGGCAGTTTTGACTTCCGTAAGTGCTGTTCGCACTTCGTGGTTGCTGGTCGGAGTGTTGGACTGCCGCAGTTGCCGCGTTTCAGGTGGCCGGAGTACTGCGTAAGTGCCGTAAGTGTCGCGTTGCAGGGAACGAAGGTCACCGGAGATGCTTAGGGCATGAGCTCCTCTTGAGGTGCAAAGAGTCGCGACTGTGAGGGAGAAGAGAGATGAGACGCGGAGTGGTAGTCCTTGAGGTTTAGAAAAACTTGAGTAAATTCTATTAGGACTTGCTACAACTGTTCTTCTTGGTTAGGGGTCAGTTGTTGGGGTATGTCCAGTGTTTTTCTCCTATTCATAGCATAGCCATGGACTCAACACGATGGTCCAATTTCCTCAAAGCTTTAGCAATGATCATCTCTTTGGATTGGCTTGGGTCGCCATGGATGGTTACAGGTCGCCCTTGCTGTACAAAGTTCATTTGTAGGTTCCTCCAATTTACTTTAATCTCCCCTAACGTCATCAACCAGCCCACCCCTAGAATGATATCAACTCCTCCGAGATCAAAGATGAAAACTTCTCCTGTCATGGTGTAATCGCCCATGCTGATTTGCACATTGTTGCAACTACCGTGCATTTGCTTGCGGTTCCCATCCCTTAGCCTCACAAAGGATGTCTATATTTGATCCACTCTGAGGCCAAGTTCTGCAACAAGCCTCTATGATATGAACTTATGGTTGGCACCACTGTCTATTAATAGAAAAATGTCTTGATTGAGCAATTGGCCCTTGAGTTTCATGATTTGTGGGGGTGGTTAGTCCTCCTGCTAAGCAAATGGATAGGTCCAACCAGTTGCAATATGTGTGAACGTTATCCGCATCTTTGATACTGGGACTTTCTGGGTCAACACTATCTTCATCTGCAAAGATGATGACTCGCAAATTCTTCTCCAGGAAATGGTGCCCTGGGGCAAATACTAGCCCGCAATGAAAGCATTTATTCTCTTCTCTTTGTCTGATATATTCATGGTAAGGTAGGTTCCTAGTTCCACGGTTTCTGGTAGGTTGGGAGGTGTTTCCCCCTTGTCTTGGTCCTGTTGGGACAGAATTGCGCGATTTCCGCTTTGTGGTTTGCGATTGTTACATGTTGTTTCTATTTGGGAGACTATCCCGTTGTTCCCTTGATATCTGATTCCCGAATTGGAATTTCGGCCTTGGGGATTACCATAATTGCGAACCTCTTTCATGGCTTCTTCTATGTTGCACGCGATCTCCATAGTGCGGTTTAACTCTTTCGGGTCATGGGGACGGATAGACTTGGCCTCTGATGTCAAAACGTAATCCCGCCAAGAAGTATCCCAAAACTTGTTCCTCGGAGTTGGGTTTGGCTTGGACAATCAATAACTTGAATTCTTGGACATAATCTGTCCCGCTACCGGTTTGTCTGAGAGTCGCCAACCTTTCATACTCAGTACCTTGACCATTCTCACCATATCTCTTCAGCAAAGCTCTCGAAAAATCTTCCCAAGACGGATGCTTGGCTTGGTTACGCCAATATTGGAACCAATGGCAAGCCTTACCTTCCATATTGATGAAGGCAATGCATAATCTCTTCGATGGCTTAACTTGGTGCACTTCGAAGAATTTCTCTACTTAACCTGGTGCCATCCTCATCGTCACCCTCGTCATCGGTGAGACTCGGTTTTGTTGTACTGGATTGCCCATCGTCGTCATGGTTTGGTTTCTTGGTGAGACATTCCACGATGAGGCCATGGATTTGGTTTAAATTAGGCATGTTTTCTTTGATGTAGGCGACATCTTTCTACAATTTTGCCAATTTGCTTCCCTGATCCCTGATCGTATTTTCTGTTGATTGCATACGTGTGTCCATCGTGAAGGGGGACAGTGGCAGGTTGGACCAATTGTTAGGTTTTCAGAGATGACATAAAGGAATAGGGCATTATTCGTCCTTGAGTTTATTGAAATTTTGGAAAAAAAAATGACTACACAAAGGAGACTACTCCTTTCACACTGGAATCTGTCCAGTTGGTAACTATCAACATCAATGAATAATCCCCCTCACCCTAAACGGATGACTTATTTAAAGAAAGCCGGAACTAACTAATTGTTACCGAAAACCTAACTAATAGTTCAAGGGATAAAATAGGTTTAATTCCTATTTGTACCCCTCTTCATATAATACATTTTTAACCTTCTATTTATATCCTGTAGTTCCTAATATCTAACAAATATGGTATACAAAGCTTAGTGATCCATCACCATGGCTCGCACTGGAACCAATTTCTACCCACCTTCCCTCTCTTGATGCCTCTTCCTCTTAGGCGATAATCACCTTCTCCCTCACAATCTCAGAGAATCTAACGAGAACAATTTTTTCTTACAAAAGCAACAGATCGACCTAGTTATCAAAGGCCACCAACTGCATTGATTTTTGATGAATCCAAATATTCCACTGCAATTTCTCTCTAAAGATTATCATGATGTCGACAATGTGAATCCTATGTATCTTTGATAGGAACAAGATCCCTTACTCCTTTCTAGGATCTAGTCATCAATTACAACAATAATGTGAGTAATGTTGTCACTCATCTCTCAATCTATTGGGAAAAATAATTGCACAAATGAAGAGATTAAACATCAAAGCCAATATCACAAATAGTTCGCAATTGTATTATGTGAACCCTAACTATCAACAAGGGAGAAATGGTAGAGGTAGAGGACGTGGCCCCAACCTCAGTCGTGGTGGCCGTGGCTCCTCTCAATGTCAAGTGTGCTATAAGTTTGGACACAATGCCTCTATTTGCTATCATTGCTATAAACCAGGCTATGTTCCGTTCAACTAGGCCTATCACTCCAGCCCTCCTTCAAACAACTTTCAGCACTATGGGAACAGTTTTTGGTAATAATCAATGGTTCATGAACAACAATAGTTCTAATCAGAATTTTGGAAACAGTTTTGGTGCAAATCAAAACAACTCTGCTGGGTTTGTCAATACTTGTCAAACTACTCCCAAAGCCTTCATCTCCAACACTAATACTAATTTCTCCTCGCGTTGGCATCTGGATTCAAGAGCGTCACACTGTTTGACTCTTAATCAGTTCAACATTCAGCAGCCCACTCACTATGAAGGACCAGATCAATTACTGGTTGGCAATGGACAAGGGCAAGGCTCTGTATTTCTTCAGGTTCAACTTGGTTCCCTTCTAGTTAGGCATGGCAACGGGGTGGGGCGGGGGCGGGTTTTACGTTCCCCACCCCCGATACACGTTGGGGGTAAAATCTAGGTCTCCATCCTCGCCCCCGGTGGGGTTCAGGTTTCCCCGCCCCGCCCCTGTCCCTGCTCCTATTTTTTTTCTTTTAAATAAATATGAACAATTTTTAAAAAATAAAAGAAAAAAATATATATAAATTTTTACATATAAATATTTCTAATTTTGGTTTATATATATATAAAAATAATTTTTTAATTATATTATTAAACGGGGCGGAGGCGGGGGCGGGTATGGGGGCGGGGGCGGGGTGGGTATTAACATCCCCGTCCCCGCCCCCGCCCCCGATTTTATCAATCGGGGAAGACCCGAACCCGATAAACACGGGTTTTCCCCGTCCAAATCGGGCGGGGGCGGGCAGGGGCGGGTTAGATTGTCATGCCTACTTCTAGTACTAATCCCAAAGTTCAGCTTGTCTTTCATAATCTGTTACATGTCCCAAATATCACTAAAAACCTGGTTAGTGTAAGTCAATTTACTAAAGATAACAATGTCCTTTCGAATTTCATCCTAAAATTTGTCTTGTGAAATGTCAAGACACCAATGAAGTTCTTCTCCAAGCTGAACTTGGGTCAAGATGGGCTTTATAAGTTCTCCAATCTACATATACTTACTGTACAAAGTAAACAGTATCAATTTCTTGTTGTACTATTAATTTTGTTAGTACTTGGCACTGCAGATTCGGGCACCCTAATAAGGATACTTTTCACTTTGTATTAGAGAATTATAAATGTTTTACATTTCAATAAAAAATGAGTTAGACTTTTCTTCTTCTTTCTGTCTTGGTAAATCTCATCATTTACCTTCACATGAATCATTAACTCACTATTCTGCCCCTCTTGAATTGATATATAATGATTTATGGGGTCCCTCTCCCTTTACAACCTTTGGAGGTTATAACTATTATGTCACCTTTGTAGAGGCATATTCCAAATACAACGATTGTTTTTCTTGAAAACTAAGTCTGAAGCACTCAAAACCTTTTTACAGTTTAAAAACATAGCTGAATTGCAATTTAACTGTAAAATCAAAGCTCTTCTGACAGGTTGGGAAGAATTTAGACCTTTCTCAAATATTCTCCAACAGTAAAATTCCTCTTGAACTAGTTTTTGGGGTCAAGGTCAAGTCTGTTCTCAATGCTAAGACAGTAATAGAGCCTATCTCGATTCTTATTGTGGGTTACCTACAAATGTCCAATCTTGAAAACTTCATGTTCCAAATTTTTAGTTTTAGACATGAGTTGTGTATAAATATCCCAATTGAGTGGATATATAATCAAAGTGCCTCTATATTTTTTTTAATTATCACTATTACAAAATAATGTTGGCACAGGTGGCAAGCCTTCTTCACGATGATGTATTGGATGATGCGGATACCAGACGTGGTATTGGTTCATTGAATTTTGTAATGGGAAACAAGGTATGTATATGAAGTTTTGTTCTGCTTGCCTGCATATTTTTTGCCATTTGTCAATTATTGTTTGGTTATATTTTCTACATAGATACTGTCACAGTGGTGGGTGTAGCTTACTTATTTTTTTTTGGTTTTTTTATGCAGTTGGCAGTATTGGCAGGTGATTTTCTGCTTTCCCGGGCTTGTGTTGCTCTGGCCTCTTTGAAAAATACCGAGGTAAGGTATATGAATAATAATAATATGCTGTGTATACATTTAAAAATGTATGATGTATCTAGTTTCCTTGATGGTGCACATAATTATGTTCCTGTCATCTGCCTAAGGACTGCATCTATGTAGGTTGTATCTTTATTGGCAAAAGTTGTAGAGCATCTTGTAACTGGTGAGACCATGCAAATGACTACAACATCTGATCAACGGTGTAGGTATGCTGGAGTTCGTTTCTGTCTTATATGTTTATGTCTTTTACTTGCTTCGAAGCTAACCTTTGTTTTATACAATTTGTTTCCTATCAATAATTAATGTTTTCTTTATAAAATTTCATTGATTTTCCTTTGCAAAAACATATAATTATAGACCAGTTTTAATTATTAAGAATGCGGACATATAAGACACCTATCTTTGGTTAGATTGATTTCTGACAATTTTGTTTATATTTTCAGCATGGAATATTATATGCAAAAGACATACTACAAGACTGCATCTTTAATATCAAATAGTTGCAAGGCAATAGCCATCCTTGCAGGGCAAACAGCAGAAGTCGCAATGCTTGCTTTTGAGTATGGAAAAAATCTGGTTTGTATATTCAATTATTCATAGATTTACACTTTAAAGTACGATGTTTTCTGCTGTAAATATTGTGTTTAATGATTAATAGTTGAATGCTTTGCATAAAGAGAATTAATGGAGCTAAGTGTTGCAGATGTGTCCACCTTTTCATCTGGCAACATTTAGTTGCTGTCTATCTTCTTGTGTGTACATGTTATATATGTTTCTGTTTATGAATTTTCGTGAAATTTATTTCCCTCTCCACTGTTTTGCAGGGTTTGGCATTTCAATTGATAGATGATGTGCTTGATTTCACCGGCACATCAGCTTCCCTTGGAAAGGGTTCTTTAACAGACATTCGACATGTAATTTCATAATTTATTCTTATTTTAAATTTCGTCCACACTTGATTTTGATTTTCAGTAACGATTTAAAATATATTTATGAAAGCCTATGAAACATGAATTGTTGACGGTGAAATTTAAAAAAAAAAAAATGATAATCTCTGTGTAGAACCATAATCCCCCAACTTTATTATTTACTTTAGGTCACGTTTATATGATACAGATATGCTTCTTGATGGACATTATCTATGGCTAAGTTTGAACGAAATAACAATCTTGTAATTTATAATTTTGTAATTCAGTAATAAAAAAACATGTATAACCTGCAATGAAGTTAAATTCTATTACAAATAAGAATATTCCAAAAAAAAAAACATCCTGCCAAATGAGAGGAAAAAAAATAATAATGAAAGTCCAGTATAGTACTGCCAGTTCCATGACTTGAAACGTTTCATTTAATATCTGTAAATAATTGTTTTATTTATTTTGCTTCTTTCTTGGCCCTGTTTTTAAAGCATTTATAAATATATTTTTATTTTGATATTAAATTTCTATGCTAACCACGCTTTTTGTGTGTTCTTGCCATTTAAAAGAAAAACTTTTATAATTAATATTATATGGTTTCTTTGCCTTTTATTCTTCATGAGATCTGTTGTATTTTGTTTATACTATTCTGTGACTTGGTGTTGATCCAAAACATTATTGCAGGGAATTGTTACAGCTCCAATTTTGTTTGCGATGGAGGAGTTCCCTCAATTGCGTGCAGTTGTTGATGAGGGATTTGAAGACCCTGCGAATGTTGATCTTGTAAGTTAATCTAAACAAAATCAATAACTACTTTAGTTGTCTCATTTTGTCTCTCGTTAATGGAAATAGGAACCACACATGACATATTCCGTAAAGAAGGGACCAAAAAGAGATGATTTATGTTAGGGACTAAAAGCAAACATTGTCCTAGGCCTTTTGAGAAATCATTTTCTGTTATTACGCAGATCTCATATTTTTGTATATGCAATTTTGCATGTGTAGGCTCTGGAGTATCTAGGAAAGAGCCGAGGTATACAGAGGACAAAGGAGCTAGCTGTGGAGCATGCTAACCTTGCTGCAGCAGCAATTGATTCCTTACCGGAGTGTGACGACGAAGAAGTAAGAAAGTCAAGGAAAGCCCTACTAGATCTAACTCACAGAGTCATTACACGAACAAAATGAAAGGAAGGCTCTCCCCTCCCTTTTCTTTTTTTTTTTTTTTTGTGGGTAGCTTAAGGAAAGGTTCTTGGTAAAATCAACCATTAACAACTATTTTTTTGCCATCAATTTTTCTGTAGTTGTTTCCCTAAGCCCGAAATTGTGGGGGAAATAAGCTGTTTTTAGGATTATTGTTATTCCTTTTTTTTAATTATTATTTATTTAGATTAAATCTCTTTCCCCCTGTTTCTGTT